GCCATTCCCCAAGCCCATCAATCCTACACCCTGCCCCTCTACCAGAATGTTCCCTATCTGTCACCCCAAGTCCTGCCCCTGACTATGTCAATCCTCCCCCAAACCCTGCCCAAGTTCTGGAAAGTTCTCCTTACACTATTAGACAATTGGTTGCTGTACCCCAGTAAATGCCCACCTGTTCCCCCATTAGTGTGTTGTTTCCCTTTCCCCACCTATGTACCCTCCTACCATTTACCGCGATTGGCCAAGTTGATGTAACCGCCCCTTGTACCACCCCCGTATTTAAGTCTGTGTAAGCCCTGTCAAACCGCCTTTTGCGGTTCCCTCTTCCCGACCTCAGACGTCGTTCTCCTATCCCAATAAAACCCTGCCTTGGAATCGCAAAGGGTCTCTTGCGCAACCTTTTATCCTGCCCAGACGGATGCCCTACGCTATAGCTTGGAAAGCTATACCTCTCCCACTGATCCCAGAGCGGAACAGGAGAGAGGCCACACCTTGATGCTCGTCTCCCGAGTGGTGTGGGCACATTAGGAGCGGGAGACGCGTCACCTCAGGACTGCGAATGCCCCCAGTGCATGATCACTGCAGTCTGGGCTGCTTTCAGTCTTGGCATTCCAGATTGGCTTACCTATATTAGTGACTCCTAGATTCAGTAGCACATCCAACTAGGGTCACATGTCACTTTTCTCCAGAGGAGTGTGTTGGCGAATTCTTAAAGCTTCTCCTGTTCTGCATCAAGTATTTTCTAATTTGCGAATGCTGGAATCAGTGAAAATAGCCTAGTCATATACTTGATCCACACAATCATGCTGAATAACTTTGGCTGTGGTTAGATTAGGATCAAGTGTTTTTGACAATCAATACTGTTCATTAGGCATGAAGTTTCATCCTGAATTCAGTTGCTCCTAAATTTTTAGAGCAATCAAATACATAGCCATTTGGTAGAGCACTAAGCTTTTTTTCACAAAATATAATCCACAGCTTTTGACTTCTTGTGTAGTATAATGTCCCAATGAGATTTTTTTCCTGCTTCTGTTTTCTGCCTTGCTGCCTGGCTTTCCTCTCTTATTGTCTCTGCATCTCACTATACTGCAAACGGGACAAAATGCCTTACCATTTACTGAAAATGCAATTTTGACTGGAGGGAATTTTTTAGGTGTTTGAAGTCAGATGGTGATGCCCACTTTCCAGCACAACTATCTGCTTTCTGCTTTCAGAGGAACAAGGAAGCTAATGTGCTGTGGGGTGAGCACAACATTTTGCACTGATAAGCCTGTTCTTTGGGGAAAAAGCGGTGTGGGGGGAGAAAGTACCCTTGTGGCTCATTAGTACACTATGAATCAGAAGAATGATGAGAATTGTGAAGGCATTATGGCACAGGATTTTGCGTCTCCTTAAGCCAACACTGCAGACTTAAGAAGCGTGCTGGATGTCAAGAAAGAAAAAATGTTGTTACGTTGACATGAGTACTTATTATACACAATTCATTATTTATCTCATCTGAAAAAGTAATCTGTGGCAATGGCTTTGTTAAATATTAGCACATTGTTGAGAGAAATGTACAAAATGTTCTTAAATTATTCATCTAAATTGGACTGGGTTTGCTATTACGGAGGTAAAGAGCTAGAGCAAATTAGGTCATGAGAACATTCAGGTTGCTTTGTGAGATGGCAGTGGAGGTAGATTTGCTAGACTGCATCTTAGACAAAATAATTTCAAACTTAGTCAAGCTACTGCTATGTTTAACCTGAGTGTAAGACCTCTCAATGTAAAACAATCCCACAAAAAATACTGTTTTATCTGCTAAGCACAGAAACTATCTCTATATAGTCATACTAAATAGCTTAGTTTTAAAGCAGGGCTTCTTTGCACCTATTATATGATACCTTGCAACCTCAGGTCACCCACATCAGTCTATTTTGCAGTTTCCACTAGTATTTGGTGCACCTAGGCAGTCTTCCGCTCACTCAGCTTTTGTGACTTTTACAGCAATTAATTCTGAAGACTTTCTAGACTCTATACTGGCTTTGGCTGAGATTGAACTAATTTTCTTCACAGTGGCTGGTATGGGGCTGTGTTTTGGATTTGTGCCATGTTCAGGTTTGATAATACAGAAACGACTTTGTTATTGCTGAGCAGGTCTTTTACAGAGAAAAGGCCTTTTCTGCTTTTTGTACTCCAAAGCTGACGAGGAAGTTGGCAGTGTGTGGGAGGTTGGCAGGAAACACAGCTGAGATGCGTCACCCCAACAGACCAGAGGGGCATTCCATATAATAAGACATTGTGCTCAGTAGAGAAGGCTGAGGAATGAGGGAGCAAGGGGTAGACATTTGGAGTGATGCTGTTTTGTCTTCCCAAGTCACCATTACATGGGATGGGACTCTGCTCTCCTGGGGATGGCTCAACCTCTGCCTGCCTGTGGGAAGCAGTAAACAAATTCCTTGTTTTACTTGGCTTTTATGTGGAGCTTTTGCTTTCCCCAACGATCTGTTGTTATCCCAGCCCAGGAGTCTTCAAGTTTTACCTTTCCAATTCTCTCTCCCACCCTGTTGATGAAGGAGTAAATGAGCTGCTGACCAGAGTTAAAACCATAAAAACACTGGTGGGAAATGCCCTTTCATTTTATAATATGCCAAATTTTGTTTTTGTTTGTTAGCTAGGTGGCCAGTGTTTGCATTCTTGGAGATTACGATGAATGTAGTTTTGAAAGAGGGCTTTGCTTCCAGAAAGAACAGTGGGAAATTTTGTACAATGTTTTTGCCTTTTTCTGGTTATATATACATGACATTCAATAGGAATGACTGATTAACTGCTGCTAAAACTGAAAAGCTACCTGCCCATGGAAACAAGACTTGATAAACATGTAACATTTTTATTTTGACATCCCCTTTGAATCATTAGCCTACCAGAAAAATTGGTAGAGCTCTTTTGAAAAATTTTGAAGGGAATTTTGGTGTTTGGACGACTTTAAAATATGAATATTTAACATATGTCAGATTAGGTAATAACACCTTTCCGTAATAGGGGTTTTGAGAACAGAATGCCATGTATGACCTAAATGTGACATGACTACAGAAACTACTTGGGTCCCAGAAGCAGACTAGGGAAACGTCATTCCATCAATATCCATAATCAAACTTCAAAAACTAGTTTTAGTGGAAATGCAGCTTCAAGAAGAGTGAGATAGACAAGCAACTATCTTACTAGTTGTCTCACAACATACAATTTGAGCCTTTCTCTAACTTTACTAAATGCAGCCAGTCTAGAGAGTAGTATCATGACTCAGAAGAAGTGGGAATCTTTGGATCTTGTAAGATGACTAAGAACTTTTACCAGGGAAGTGCTGCAAACAGGGAATTCTTTGTAATGAAAGAAAACCCATAGTGCACCCATTTTATTGCCAGACTAAATGTTTTAACATTCAGATGACTTTCATGCAAACTTCATTCATGCCTTAACCGTTCTTGCATACTCCTCTCTTCTGGATACCTGTTGGATTACCAAAATGAAACTACTAAATTAACCTTTGTTGTCAGTTAATTTTATTTATGTCCTGTATTCCCGTAACAGCTCTAAACCATCTTTCCTCTAAAAGGACATATGCATTACTGACACAGCCTACCGGAGCTCAGGTTAGCTCTTTATGTGCACACCGGTGCTGTGCCAGGTGTGGGGAACTGCCCCTGGGTAAGATTTCCTGGAGGCAGAACCTTAAAAGACAGTAGCTCTTCAATGTGGCTTGTGTCCACGGTTAGGCAAAGAAAGCGAGGGAGGTTTCCTGCTTCTGAGGTTCCAAAGGATTTGTTGAGGTCGGAGAGTTCACTGCGCTTGGAATTAAAAACAGAGACAGATAGGGGATGGGTACAAACAATTGACCAGTAGGGAATCCTTAGGGGAGGAGTGGAGGGCAGGGTCTTACAGGGTTACAACCAATGAGGGAAGCAGGGGGAGGAGAAAAGGTCACAGGGGCCAATGGGGCATCGAGAAATAGGGGACTTCCAAAGGGGTGGAACAACTAGGGATTGGCCCAGGGTAAGACTGACAAGGAAAGGACTGGAACAAGGGGCAGGGTTACAATGACAGAGAGGGAAAGGACTGGAACAAGGGGCGGGGTTACAATGATGGGCAGGGAAGGGACTAGAACAAGGGACAGGGTTACAATGATGGACAAGGGGTGGGGACTGGAACAAGGGGCAGGGTTACAATGATGGACAGGGAAAGGACTGGAACAAGGGGCAGGGTTACAATGACGGACAGGGAAGGGACTGGAACAAGGGGCGGGATTACAATGACAGACAGGGAAGGGACTGGAACAAGGGGCGGGGTTACAATGACAGACAGGGAAAGGACTGGAATAAGGGGCGGGGTTACAATGATGGACAAGGGGTGGGGAGTGCCAAGTAAGGTGGTTTTAGGGATGGATACAACTTGGGGACAAACCAACCGGGGAAAACATAGGGGTACATAAGAACAACCATTATAACAATAAACTGAATAAAATAAAATAAACATGTGCCACAACACATTACTGCTTAGTGCTTCTGTGTATGAACCAGAATTTGTGTGAGAGGAGAATTAATCTGGAGAAGGAATAAAGGGAAGGGAAGGGAAGGGAAGGGAAGGGAAGGGAAGGGAAGGGAAGGGAAGGGAAGGGAAGGGAAGGGAAGGGAAGGGAAGTTCAAGTACAACTTACTCTACATTTCTCTAAGTATGTATTTGATCTTGGGCAAGACTACTGAATCACAGTTTCTCCAAGGTTTTCATTGAGTATATATATTCCTCATTTTCTGATATTAATTTAAGATTTCTAGACCTTGATTCCTAGAAATTCTGTGCACTCACATCTGCAACTGAAATAGATGGAATCATCATTTTGAAAAAGCTCTGTTTCAAGTTGGTTACCTCATTCTGATGGACACTTCAATCATTTTGCCTCTGTTCTCCATGAATATTGATTTTTCACTTGTAAAATCCATATGGTAATAATAACAATATCTTTTAGTACTCTAGCTCAGTTGGTTGGAGCATGGTGCTAATAACACCCAGGTCATGGGTTCAATCCCCTTATGGGCCGTTCACATGAGATTTGGACTTGGGGGATCCTTTGGGTCCCTTTCAGCTCAGAATATTCTGTGATCTGTAATTAGATAATATTTCCAACAAGTTAAAGAGTTAAAAATGTAGATCAAAAAGATCTTAAAATGTTTGTTCAGATGTTTCATCCAGATTATGAAGATCTAAATATACCCTATAAAATTGAATGAAATACTTAAAAAAAATTTAGAATTTAAAAGGGTTTTTAAAAATATAGCTTACATCACTCTTAGCAAGGCCAAAAGAAAAATCCTAGGTTTTTAAGAACTGATACAGTTAATTTTTCAATATCTCTCTGTGGAATGTTTGTCTTTTGAAATCTGAACTTTTACTAAACCCCATAAATTTTACCTTAAATATAGTATTAGTTCTAGAAATATAATTCTTCACAGGAGTGCTGTGAAATTTATCAGTGCTTATGAACTAAGAAAAAAAGGTGTTCCTACAGTTGGGGTTCTTTTTGCCTTTGTAAAGTGCTAAGGATATGATCTGCTGTGTGCCTCAAAACAGAAGCTGTGATTTTTTTCATGTGTTTTGTCTCTTCTTTCATTGTACACATAATAAGAACTGTAGGTACCACAGTGGCATGTTCTTTCATGTTTACCTGCTTCAGATAGTGAAGTTTATATGTGGTGAGATGTTTCCTGGGCACTTCTGTCATTGATAAATACAATTTAGGTAGCTCTCCTTCTCCTTCCTGTCTCATTTATGCTAGAATAGTGTATCTAGCTGGGAAAATGATCAGCCAAATACCAGAAATTTCGCAAGGTCATCTGAAATCACGTTTTCTTCCCTTAATCAAGACCAAATACTGTGTTGAGGTAGCTAAGGGGATACTGGAGAAGGAAAATTGAAGGGGTACCAGAGAAGGAAAGGTGGTTTCAAAAGACAACTGAGCAGTGGACAAGGAATGTAGATTGCCAAATGTTACCGTAAACAAATACCTGTGAAATCTAGATCGGGCTTAAACTAGCGCAAGTGGGGTTTAGAGATAGTGTCTTTCTAGGAATAAAGTTTACTAGTTCTTTTAAATAATGGATTACTTTAATGTTGTTCAGTGGAAAAAAACTTATATTATATATATTATATATATTGTTAGAGAACAGAGCCATACATACCCTCAGGCAGTTTCAAATGGAAAAAGGAAACAAAAACAGAATGAGATGTCGTTGCCAATATGAACCTTTACTGATTAAATTTGATCCTATGAGCTCTGCTGGGAAATACACATACCCTATATAGTAAACTTGCTTCAGACACAACATTGAATAAACTTTACAAAAGTATGAATGCTCTTATTAAGAAAAGGCAAAACAGCACTTCCATGGAGGAAAATAGCACACTACTTCTTTATTTCCATTATAAACCCAGCAAAACTTTAGGTTTCAGCTGTTGACAGTCTCCTTTTGTCTTAGTAAATATTAGAGCTCAGGTCATCTGGTGGAATGAAGGTCTATAGAGCTTTTTTTTTTCTTATGTATACATGTTAAAGACCTTTTACCTCATAGTTCAAGGAAAGTTGTTTCTGTGGTTCAATATTCAAGATGTCTGTCAGCTTGATATTAAAATACTGTGATTTGCCTTCTGTCATAGCTTAGGAATGATATGGCCAATTTAGTGTTCTAGGTGAAACAGATCGTGATCTGCTCACTCATTCCCTCATCCACATCCCCTGGCATCCTCCCAGGATGGAGAGGAGGACGGGAGGCACAAAGGGTAAGGATCAAAGGGTAAAGTTGAGATAGGAACAAATTACTGGAAAACAGCAAAGAAATAAGAAAATAAACAGTAACAATTGCAATATCAGTAATGGAGGGAATCAGTGCTATCTGACTGCTTGCTCTGCCATACTTCTGGGGCTCGGAGAGAGCCCTCATCACATTCCTGGAAAATGACATGAGATGCTACAGAATAACCTCTGGGTCCTAGCCATGCCTGCTCTTGGCTACTCTAAAAATTAACCCTCTCCCTGTCCCTGGCCTAGCCAGAACCAGGACACCTAGTAAAATATTTCCAAGAGGCAATACTGAAGTGCACAGTAAAAATGCATATCAACAGAGGTTTAGGGTCCAAGCCTTCTCATTTTATCAATTTCTGAAAGAAATAAAAGGGGAGGGGGAAAGTGCTCTGCTGTTCCGTTGTTTAGACTGAAAATATCTCTGATGTGTTAATGAACTTTGCAATGTGAGAAAACACCTGAAAATACCTCGGCATGAGTGTTATACCACAGCTCTCATCTGGGCTGGCAGAGCACACCTTAAGTGAGACCTTCTCCAGCATCCTAGGCTCTACCAAAATTAGAATAATAAAGATATATATTCTGCAGGGATAGTTTGAAGGAAACATTTTGTCTGCAACTGGAAATGTCTTGCACTGGCTTCATTCAACTTAATAGAGTATACCACTAGCTGGGATTTTATTTTATTTCACTAATCTAAAGAATCTTCTGCATTCAGGGGAGAGAAAGTTGATAGCTTCTTAAAATTGCATGCTGTTGATAAAGTGTGGAAAACTTCTCTTCCTGAAAACAATATACTACATCTAATGGTAAATCACGAGCAAATTCCATTATGTTTGTGGGCTTGACATGTGATGCTTATTAAATGTAGGAACAAAGCCACTTTATACATCATAATGTTCACATTACAAATTCACTGCTTATAATGGTGCTGCAAGTGTGTATGCAATTTTTCTGAACTTATGAAATATATTTCTGACACCTCAGGTATTGATGTATGCATGCACGATATTGTCCCAGTGCAGTAAGGGAGACTTAACTGATGTCTGCAAGATTTGATTTATTACAAGTAAATATGATTGCCTTCATAATCTGATTTTATTATGTTCGGGGCTCTCGCAGGTAAACTTTTAGTAGAAGGAAGAAGACCAGTTTTATTAAACCAGTCTATTTCTGTAAACCAAATCACTTCTTGACAAAAAAGAAGAAAAGAGAAAAAAGAAGTAAGGTCGAGAAGAAGAAGGATTAAGGATGAATTTTTCTGCCAGACTTCATTCCCTCACATGAATATTCTGGAATGCTGAAAGTTACTTTTTGTCTCTGTTAGACAAGAAGTCAGAGAACCAACCTGTCTCTAGAATCAAGGCAAATGCTACCACTAAAACTTATGTAGTTGCAACTTTATTTAAATATTGCCTTGGAAAGTCTTGCCATAGACTTGTGTGGCATCAAATTTTAGAGTACTGTTCATCAGAAGAAAATGTTCCATACATATTTCTGTGCATCATAATTTTTTTGTTTGTTTGGTTGGGCTTTTTTAGTATATAAGAGGTGAAAAATTACAAAGAACAATTATTTCCTGAGAGGAATACGGGAGTATCTATATTGACATATTTATGCAAAAAACCAGAAAAATTCACAGTAGTATTCTGTATCTTTCCATGCTGGCAAGCCAATTATTATCCAGGTTAAATACTGTCTTATTCCCCTGTGCAAGTTAAAATGTTCTCCATATTGTCCAAAAATCACCTGTAGAGAAAAAAATGTTTTGTTCTTTTTTATATTGATGTAAATTAATACTGAGACAACCCACATAAGACAGTATCGTTGTGGGCACCTTATTGTATGAGGGGAAGATAAATAAAGTGACTAACCAAAAGGGCTATCTAACCAGTATTTCAGAGAGTTGGAGAGCATCTGTTCCATAAAGACAGACATATAATAGTTGTTTCATCAGAATAATTATCGGATTTGAAAGTGATGACATGTTAGTTACTGTGAGATACCTTTAAAAGCCTGGTATGTATCCTACTATACTATGCTGTCCAGTTCTGTGACTTACAAGAGACTGTGTATGCTCCTTTTGGCTACTAACATTTAGACCTCTAAATTTATTATAAGCCTTTAACTTGAAAAAAACTTTGAAGAGAGTGTGGAAAATGATGTTTCAGAGAGCTAGCGTCTTTACTTTTCTGCTCATGTTTACAAAAAAAAAAAAAAAATGTGACTTGGTAAAAGCTGCTGTCTGACTTCTTTGAACAAGACTGGAGCTTTTGTCCCACCTGTTTATTTATAATTAAGTTCTTTTTCAAATGTAAAAATTGGAAAAAAATTGTTTGATATACTACCCTAGTTCTCTAAAATCTAGTTAGCTAGCTTAATGACACATTTGGAATGCTTACTAGTGTGTCTGATGGAGGCTAAACATTTCTTTTTAAAGGAAGAAAATTTAGGTTGTCAGAATAAAATGAGATGGGTATGTAGGTTTAGAAATGGAAACTGAGCTTCTTTTTTTGCTTTGTTGCTGATGTGGGTGGTAGGATGGTCAATTTGGATGGACAACAGCAGAAGAGCACTGAGGGTAGAGCATTATAGTGATGAAGTTTAATTTTTTCTTGTATATGCAACTATTTTCCTACATAAAATTTATTGCATACTGTTGTTGAAAAGCATCACCTAGAGATGCTTTTTAAAATTTGCTTTGATTGCTACTGTATTTATGATGATTTCTATCCCGCAATAACACAGACCTATTTCCTGATGTCATAGTTGTCTCAGACTTGGCTTAATTGTTGGTGTTACCTATTGCTGTCCTTTAAGTGGTAAAGGTGGTAACTGTGCCTCTACAGTTAAATCAGGGACAAAGGCCTAACTGTTTCACTGTAAGCTGACTGCATGTGTTGTTTTTTAGGGAGTTACTCTTACACCACAACAAATCCAGAATCACATTCAGAGACTGAAAAGATATAAAACCTCAGATGTATAAATCTAAGGAGCAGAAATTCCATCATATCCAGGGGACAGATGAACTTATTGCAGTAGCTCTCAGAAACAGACTAGGAAAAACACCACATTATTAATGGGGGTGTATGTGTGCGTTTACTTGTATGAAATACATATTTAGATGCTGCCAGTGGGAAACATAACCCAGCAGTATGTCTTTATGTTTCTTCAATGAAGTTAATTTCTTCAGCAAAGGGTAACAAAAAGTTTAGTTACTCTGTAGACATAAGTCTCTGATA